CAATACCTGTAACAATAAGAATATATGTAGCATTGATTGTACCAAATGAATTAAATATTTCACATGTATAATTTCCAGTATCGGATTGACGTAAATCTTTAATATTTAATATTTGACTTCTACAAAAGTAAAATGAATAATCACTAATACAAACCAATATATATATATGAGTAAATTGCAACTTTTTGGTACGATTGAAATGTTATCTGTATTTGGCTAATAGTTTATGTTTCTCTTGACTAATTCTTTTTGTTGACATGTGCAAAGAAAAGGATTGTTTTTTTTGACTGTGAAAAAGCAACAGAAAGATTTTGTAACTATTTAATTTGTTTTGTACAATTTTCGACGTTTTATCAAAATATGTAGCTAATTTATATTTCATTTCTTCTTAGTTCCTCCATTCGACGTTCACAATGTTTGACAGACACTTGTATGTTGCCATTATACTCAATCTGTAAAGTGACAACATTTTCAGCACATATTTCTAATTAAACTTATACGATAATTTTTTCGGGTATAATTTAAATGAACAGAATAAGGCAAGTAAATTCTAGTGTACTTTAGCCTTTTTTGTGCCTTTCTGCTCTTTCTACAGGGTTGGAAAATGACTCAAAATTTCCAATGAGTAAAACAGAAAATTGTTGCCACTTAACATACATAGAATATAATAACATATGCTACTCAGAAGTCGTGTAAACCTACTTTCAGTTTTTTAAGTCAATCGTACCGAAAACTTGCAATTCACCCATATATGTACAGAAATAACTTACTGAGTTATACCGTATTCATCTTCAGATAATATTTTACCATTTTTTTTCCATCTTATTTCTGGTGATGGTTTACCAGATGCTAAACATTTTAATTGAACAGTTGTACCTTCTGGTTGAATAACTTTAGTCGATTCAATTTGACTTCGTTCATCTCGTGCAAGAAATTTTGGCGCTTCTAAAATGTAAATATATGATCAAAATGCATTTAAAACCTATAAAACTTACCACCGTTAAATGAATTAACATCCCAAACCATTATATTTTGTTGTTCATTACTAATAATACTATTCGATGATGTTTCATTTGCTAAAATAATCTTTTGTTTTAATTGAGAAACAAAGGAAAAAAAATTAGATGACTACGTACATTTAATAATAACTTGAAATTGTGCTTGTACATTACCAAATCCATTGACAACATTACATTTATATAAACCAGCATCACTTACATGTGCTTGATGAATTTTTAATACAAATCGTCTAATCAATAAATTTGATGTTGTCCACACAGGATCTAAATCTTCATTATTTTTTGACCATTGGACAGATAAATCAGGTGTAATAGCAACTGGACAGCGCAATTCGATTGGTTCATTTTCATTGACCTCGAATGTTATAATATTTGGTGTTTGTTTCAAAAGAACTGGTGGACCTAAAAAAATGTATATGAACAAAATCATTCGTTAGCGACATGATAGCACAAAATTAATAGTTGTATATCTCGGGACAATAAACTTTCCCACAGCTAAATTGTATATGTTACATGTATGTTAAGTTACTCTAGATACCCTGAAAAAATCAATACATACTTCATGCATTTTAGTTTTTAAAAAACTCTGACTTGAGACAGCATTTTTGAAAACTAAATATGGCATTCTATAGACAATCCTTTGGGTTACAAAATCTCTATTTAAAGGTTTTTTTCAGCATGCTTAAATTTTCCAAAAAATTCAATTTATTATACAAAACAATGCTCTTGTAGCCAAATAAGACGTTCAAAATCAATTCTAAACGGTACAAAATCCTAGATGACGATATGATGAAATTTCTTGTTTTTCGACTTGACAAGATCTACGGAAAACCGGTATTTAAGATGAGGTTTCGTTTCTCATATGATTACAGAGATATTTGCTAATTAATTTTTAATTAATACTAGGTTATCAGCGATGATCTCCATTCAATCTATGATGATATTATTACTAAGACTTCTCTTACTTCATGGTACAATCTAGCATATTATCCACGGTTGTCTAAAGATGAGAAAAGTTACGTCATATTGCATATGTCATCAACTCAATGATGAACAAAGCCAAGAATAGGTTAGATTTCATCGTGAAAATTTTGTCAAAATTTCTTCATGGATTTATCATAGATAGGTTGGGCAACAGTTAACTAACGAAAGTTGAATTAGTAAAGTTGAATCATCAGCGATTTTTGTTCGCTGAAGTAGATTTGCACAGAAAAACTTCTTAGCAAGGTCTCCATATCGTGTCACTTTTACCATATTCAATAGATATTTTATCATATGATATTTTTTTTTACTACACGATTATATCAAGCGTAATAAAAACTGATCAAACAACATTAGCTTGTGGAGTTTCCACGATAGTTACAAATCTTGTTTTAAACATTTTCTAACATAAAATGAGAAAAAATCTTACTCCTTTTATTTTTTTTTAACGTTATCAGAACTTTTGGTTTAATTCTATGAACTGATCATATTTATACATAGTTCAAGGTTTTTTGTTCTTATTGAAAAAGATAAGTCAGAAAGAAGTGCATATAATTTTTTTTTTTTTGATACTCATATTACAGAGTAATGTTTGAGTATTATCTTAAAGAAGTCACATATAGCAGGGCATATCCAATAGAGAAATTGAACGATATCATTATTTCTATTGACACAATGACTCCAATTTCAAATTAAACTCTTATGATTAAAAATTTCAAATAATGAATCCATACAAAAAACATGTGTATCTTATTCCACATACCTCGAGCAATAATACTTTCGAATAACATAAATAATGCTATGAATAATATTGGATTCATTTGTTTTGGAAGTAAGATGAAATCTAAAATGAAATGAAAACAATCGATGAAGACTAACGATTGTATCATAAAACAATTCGATTCTTTAAGAATAATAAATACAAAAAAAGTTCAATAAAATAATAACATTTTTAATCAGCATAGAAAAATCATGATAAGAAAAAGATGATCAATACATATATATTCTATCCTTTGGATATATACTCACATAATCTCTTATCACAGTTATCTCCCGTGATAGTAAGAATATGCAATGAGTAGAACGATTATAATCTCATGTCTGCTTACAATATCTTGACATTTTATACCAGTACAGATAATTGTCTTTGTATACAGTCATCAGATTAAAGGATATTCCATAATCAGAGTTTCTTTTCTCTTTGGTTCACTTGAAATGTTCTGTTAATGATACAATATACTTTTTTCTTTTCATTTTTTTTTTGTCTTATTCAAATCAAATAAGTTAAATCGACAGCAAACGTGTGCATTCGTCAAGCGTATAATCTTGAATCAATGGATTCATTCATCATCATTATTCGTTCGTACAGTTTTCATGGTTCAGTTATATGAATAGATGGGAAAAAAGACAACAAATAAACGAGTATTTGTATATTTATTGGGATATCTTTTTTGGTTTAGAATTAATAGAAAAAGAAACTTCTGAGGTAATGATTTACATTAATTTAACACTTAACAACTAAAAAGGTATAAATACAGACGTGCTTTTTTGTTACGTACCAACAAATCTATTAAAATGATCAAAACTACGTGAAAATAACATATGAAATATGAGAAAAAAGTAATCTATTACATATGTCTGCAAAAATAAATATTGATAAGAACAAAACTTTTATTATCGGTTGTTCAATATCGATACGAAAGAAAATCAACTTACTTGACGTCAACGATTAGTTTGTTTTTTTCTTGTTTGTCGTTTTTTTTTTACTGATTGTCCGCTTGTCAGATCAACTCTTTCAGTATGAAATCAGTTTATTCAGTAAACCTATATTGTGTTGATGATAATAACGATAATAATCATCGACCGAGTTTATATATATATGTATATATGTATATATAACACTGTAAGAGGAGAAGAAGAACAAGTGGACACACGATGACGAGACCGTAGTTATGAACAGCGAGAGAAAAAAAATACAGAAGAAATTGAAAGAAAAATAGTTATACAGTAGCAATAATCAATCAGAAGCGAGAGAAAAAAAAACACGAAGGAAAGTGACAGACGAGTACATTATTCATAAATATAGAAGAAGAGTTCTAACTACAATGATGAGAAGTACTAATCAACAAACTCAATCAAACTATAAGTAGAAACAATTTTGCATAATTTCGATCATCTAATAAATATGATGATGAACCACTTAGAATAGAAATGAACACATGTTGAAGATCAAATTTTTTTTTGATTTCATTGTCTTTGCAGTTTCTTTCACACATATGGAAATAGTTAATACATACTTATTAACTTCATCAAAGTAGCGAAAAAAGAAAATTTATTGTCAATTCACAATGAATAACGAAAGGAAATCGTCTTTTATTCATTTACACATAAACATCTATTTTTGCAATGAAATAACAAGATGTACGTCTAAGTAGTATTTATGAATAATTTTTTTTTGTTAATTATGTTCAAATAGATAATTAACTACAATCATTAATAATCGGAAATTAAAACATATGCAATATTTATTTACATTACAGGTACAAAATCACGAGTATCTGTGAATTATGATCGTTGTGACTTTATATACATTGACATTCCATTTGACACGTTTTATTTAGTTTTCTTCTTTAAGAATTCTCACATTTGAAAAATTACATCATATGTTATTTGTCAGCTACCATTTTTCTTTTCTCGTTTTCTTTAATCATTATTATTATTATCATCATCATTGACAACGACTAATCCATTTTTACATCATTTTAAGATGACGTGTTGAAATACGAGTTGCTTTCATCTTTTCAAATGCCTAGTGTTGTTAGTCTAATAACTTGAGCATACATTGATATAATACTCTTTTGTTAAGTGTTACTATTCAATCAACATATGATTATAGAGAGTAATGGAAATATAAAAAAAAGAATAGAGGAAAAAAAAAAAGAAATTTGCTATTATTTTTTCAAGTGCTTTTTGTTTAACTTAAGACTGGCGTCACATCCATGTATAAACTGTTAAGAAAACAACAGAAAAGATAATCATTCGGCTATTTTAAGATAAACAAATTTATACTCAAATGCAAATGAACAATAGCGATAATGAATGGATGAACAGACGGAAGCTAAATGGACAAACAATATAGATATAGACACTCGTAAGAGAAATGAAGGGCGTCGCGTTCGACCTTTTCTTATTTCATGAGTACATAATTCAATGAGACAATCAAAACATGTGAAAAAGAAAATTTGAATGTGTAATCATTTCGAGAAAATCTAATTTTATTTTTCAATTATCATCTTAAGAAAATATACAACTAAAATATTTTTCTATGTACCTTCTATTGGGTAGCATTTGTAAACATAAAACATGACATGTTAGATATTGAAAGACGCTCGCTTGCAGCACTTATTTTTACAAATTATGAAGTCTATCAAGTAATTTTGATTGTTTTTATATATTGACAACAACCATATTTACATGTACAATGTTCAGAAAAATATACACTCAAAAATCTTCTTATCATGAAGTATAATACTAGATCAATACCTTTGGGTTGCTTTAGTTTCAATGTATGAATCAGTATCGATATTGACATCATTCATATTTTGAGTAATCAATCGAGAGTATTTTTGAACTGTTCGCCACAACATTGGCATAATTCATCTATGTTTTCTTATTGCAGCAAAAGAGCAATTTCTTTCTATTGATACGCTTGGAAAAGAGTAGCGTACAAGATTTGTAAATGAATGAAAATATATCTAGAATGCTTTGCATTTTCTAAACCACATTACTAAGAGCATCGATAAGAAACTTTACGAATGAATAATAGTTTTGCATTTTCGAATAATAAATATCGACTTTTTTTTTTTTGAGTACTATTGATCTACCAAAGTCAGAATAGGACGAACATAGAAAAGTATGAACTAATTGAATTCTAAGTTTAGAAAATACTTCACAGTATATGTCAAAGTTGGTCGAGAAAAAGGATGGTGCATGACAATTGAAGTGACAAAACGAACAATAAAATGACATTTGTCGCTCGCTTTCTATGGCATTTCTAAGTGCAAGCATTTTCAAAATGATTATATTTCAGAGCGTGCCTATCAACTATAAAAGTTGATATCATTTTGATTTATTCATTTATTTGGTATTTGGTTAAAATAAATGATTTTAACTTCTGACAATATAATATACATTTATAACAATTAGAGTTTGTGAATTCCACACTTTGATCTGTTATGGAGCTGCAGTGACAAGTTAGCTTTTGTCTTAGATAATATTTATTTTATCTACACGTTTCATATTGTTTTTATTTCTCTTCAATAATGCAAAGTATAATATAGATGTATAACCATTTTTCTGCTTTCAATGAAACGAGTTATTCTATTTTTGTTACTATCACTATCATAGGTTTTTTAATGAATATGATACGAATGTTATTTTTCTCGAAAG